TGCTGAGTTGTGTGACGAAGATTTCCAGATCGGTTTCAGGTTGATGAATGTGTTTCTCGCTCTCCTTCCCGATTCTCGCTCGATTTTAAATCTTCGTCCGTTCCCACTTCCTGTAGTTGAGATAATGTTCAATGCTAGATAAGTGAGTGAATGAAGTAACCTCTTTCAAATCCCTCCTGTTGGTGGTGACTGGCGATGAATATTGCTGTTGTTGTTGTTTTTGACTGGTTATTTTCATAACCTCCGTCTTGTCTATGTTCACCTGGAGTCCTATCTTCGCCGGCTGTTTCTTCGACCAGTTTGTCGGTTTTCGCTTGTAAGTCTTCGATTTTGTGTGACATCAAACATAAATCATCCTCGAAATCCGAACCTAGAAAACTGAAGATCAGATGGCCGGGCCGGAAAGAATCACCAACGAGAAATTATGGGAACTAACAAAACAAAAACACAACAATCGCCCAACAATTATGTAGGAGAAAGTGGAGATGCATCGAACACCCGATGAGAAGACCACGGGGTGAAATCACGCTTCAGGCCCTCGAACCAAAGACCTTGTGGCTAAAAGGCTAGTCTATGAACCATCCAGTCACTGGGAAGTGATCCTACGAATTCCAACCCCTGCCACTTCAAGGTATATGTATATTTATGAAACAAACGCCAGTCAATGTCATAATGTGGTGAGAGCTGTCTGCAAGCCAAAATTGCAGACAACAGTTTAGGTCAATGTTCAGGTTTTAAATCAGGGTCATGAGAAAAACAATAACAAACATTAACCTTGAGAAAATCATTAGCCAATCACAGTGGAGTTAAAGTGTGGAAATATGATTGAGAGATATATGAAATGATTTTATGAGAAACGGCCACAAAGAGATAACAGAATAACCTTCAACAAGAAAACAACCAGCCAGAAGACGTTGCTTCTCTGTTAACAATAACGCTAATAATAATGCACATAAAAAATTAATAAATACCTCTCGATTTTCTCAATAAACGCTTTGTTGTCTGACCCTTGTCTTCTGTTGTTACAGCAGTAGTGTAATTTGTTATTGGAATGAGTTTTCGTTAATTCCTAAATTATTTTTCACTCCTTTACGTTCCCAGTGGAACATAGGACTTCAGGCTAGAGGTTTGACGTTTCAGTGGCTGTGGTTTTTATCCTTGTCGGATGGAGTTGCTACCCTCATGCCCAACCTTCCCTTTTAACCAATCTTATTACTGGTTTAACGAGATAAAGGTGTGTGTGTCGGCTGGGGATCGAACCATTAAACCACATGTGTGGTCTGCCAGCATTCTACTGCTATGCCACCGACGCACAATTCCTAAACCAGCGGCTATAATTACAAACACTGACTTCAGTAGGTTCACTGCATACCATGATGACTGTTGACAGTATCTACGATATAACAGCTGCTTCAGAAAAATATTTGATTTTGGTGGAATCACTCGTCTGTAAGCAAAATGCCTTTTTTTGTATATTCTTCATGTAAATAATATTTAGATCTAAAATGATACTCCTGCTGGGATGAAACTCTGGCGATTGCAAACCAAAATGTATTTTTACAATTATAAAAACAATACATAACTACAGAACTATTTTCGCACTACGGTAACATGGCCTGGTAGTCTTAACTTTTTCGTTCGGTGATTGTTTATTAGCTGATAATGACGCCTAAAATCTCATCCATTACGTAATATTACTCTAAGTGAAAAATTCCACCTTCTGTGTACTAATGTGATATTTTTTGCAAGACTTGTTTATATTTTGGAGTGCTGTAGAGAACCTTGTTCTACTTGGTGCTGAAGGGCTAAATTTTTAGTCATCTGGGTAGGAATATCGTTAACTTATTTTTTATGTATAACAGGAAGATAATGCGATTAGTTTTGTTCTTCTGGGTTCCTATTGGAAATTAGGGCTATAAAAGCACATCTGCATTTTGTCCAGTTCTCTGTGGTTCCATCTAGCTGACCCCACGATTGCCCATAATCTCTTGTCGCCTCCTCGCACGATCTCCTCTGTATCACCCCCAGACCCACGCTTAACTCCTTGTTCCTCATTCACATTCCACTCATGCGATGGCCTGTCACACAATGTCATTTTATGGTCTTCTTACTGTGTATCCGACCCACCTACACTTTCTCTTCACTGTTTCTTGAGAAATGGGTTGTTGGTTGGTTGCTTCGCCCTCAGATTTCCTTGTAGCTAATTTTTCCAGGTTAAATAATCTTCACTATGCAACCAGCGAACTTGGCAGCTGCCGATAAAAGTCTAAAACCGGTCGGAAAAACTTTTCATGACGCGGGCACCAAGTTTCTGACTCATTTGGGAGGATTGGCTAACTTTACACTTGTATTGAAAATCCAGGATGAGGGCAGAGTGATGAAGGTCTGTCTTGGTGGCTTTTGATTCTAGTTTTGGCATCCGTATTTGTGCCGACTGCCCGCATATTTGAAATTGTGTTACTCACATAAGTAAAGGATGTGACTAATTTTCAAATTTCTCCTATCGATCGTGATTGACGCTTGTTGTCGGTGGCGGTCTGAGGATATCTTCGTCACCTTCGTCTTCACTATGTTCACTTGACAGCCTGTATTTGCTGCTTGCTTCTTCTTTCGGTTTTCACCTGAAAGTCTTCGAGTTTGTGTGACATTAAACATATAAGATAGTATAAGAAAGCGTAAAAATGTTACTAGTGCTCTGTAAATCATAAAATTGAATGTGTGAAATAAGAATGACTTAGTTATTCTTCAACCTAACTTCACAAGTATACTTAAGAAATTTGTTAAAACATTTACATGAGTTTTTATAAATCGAACCCATAATCTGCTTAACTAGACATTTGTGAGATTAGATGAAGTAAACAATTGAATTACTACAGACGCCTTCGAATAATCACTACTGGATGAACGAAGCAAATGCCTAAAATTACACCCTTGAAAATTAATTTGATTCGCTAGTGACTGACTAGAGGAGGAAATTGCTTGAGGTTCTAGTAAGAAGTTGTAAACGGTAGGGTCCTCCTGGTCATGAGTGTGCACAAATACTCGTCAGTGACACAAGTTGGTGGTGAAGATATAAAACACAAACTGGTAGAAGTTAGAATTCATGGGTCACTGAATCGGATTCCACTGACTGAATAGTCTACAAGGTTCCTTTGTGACTGGATTATCCTGGTTCGAACCCCAGTGGATGGGTACCGTCGATGAGTCAGAGAGTGGGACGAAACAGATGTACAATACTCCCTGGTTTTTTGATGGTCCTCTAACTGATATCAATCCGTGGTCAAGCCTGAAGCAAGTCAAATCAATACAAACTAACTCTTGGAAACGATAGAAACAACTTATTTTCATAGGTTTCTGTGGTATTTTGGTCCAACAGGGTGCAATCTATTTATCTGTGTTCCAGCATAAGTCAAACGTTCAATGAAATTAACACTTTAAGGCTTGCTGAAAATAGGAGACAAGATGAATTAATACGCTGAATGATTAGCGTCAAATTTTAGCAACGTAAATGCAGCTCAGTGTTAGAGCGCCCACTGTGTATGCCAGAGGCCTCGGATTTCAAATCCAGTAACTCCGCACAGGAAGATGGAAGCGTGACGATAAAAGTGTATCAACACACACAATCAGTGTTATGTAAACAAGGTCTATAGCAGTTCTTCAGTCTAACGCTGTATCCAATAAATTAAAATAGTTAAAACTCAAATCGTAAATTAGCAGAATTCTGAATTTATCGGTCACTGCGTTTCATTCCAGTGGTTGGAGAATTCTCAAAGAACTCGCCTTCTAACCTGAAGTCCTTGGGTCCGACACCGGATAAGGTCGTGATTGCGTAAAATACATACATATTTACAAACTTGTCTGACAGAATTTAATCTCCACCAAAGCCAGGACTAGACACCTGACACTAGTTGCCAACTAGTGTTCAATCAAAGTATCCACTACAGTCAGTCCTACAGCAGGTTAGTCACGTCCTCGAGTAACTCAGTGGTATCGTCTCTAACTGCAAAACTGCATGATGTGGGTTCGTATCTCAGAAGGGACATGAGTTTCTTCGAGGTTGCAGATACGCCTTACAGACGAGTGCCAACTAGCTGGAAACTTAGGTCAAGCATGGCTTCCTGCCGACTGCTTCCAACCATCTAATATAGAGACTCATTGTAAATTAGCCCCGTTTTCTGCCGAAATGTTGGGTTAATCGCTCAGTAATGTATGTTTAATTTGACACAACAACTAAAAAAGCTTTAGTTTCAGGATTTCATCATGAGCTGACATTAGTTAGAGAACCATTGAAAACCTAGGAGTACTGGACAGATGTTTCATCCTAGTTTGGGACCCTTCAGCAGTACGCACCCACCGGAATTCGAACCCAGGAGCTTCTAGTTACAAAGCGAGCTCCTAGATTTTCCAATGGTTCTCTAACTAATGTCAGCTCATGATGAAATCTTGTAACCACTCAAATCCCTACAAACCAATACTTGAATAACAATGAGATGCTCACTAGTGACTTGCCCTATTCAGGTAGGTAGTTACCTGGGATTCTAGTGAGAAGTGTTGACCAGTAGGCTGCAGCCGGTCGGGTGTGAGGGCAAATACTAGGGGTCGCGCTATGTCGTGAATTGACGGAAGTTAGAAAACATGGAATGGCCATTAGATCGGGGCCCAGTGGCCTAATGGCATACGAGCTAGCTCGTCTTGTAAATAGAAGGCCCTGAGTTCAACCCCTGTTGGGTGCGTACTGCTGAAGGGTCCCAAACAAGGCGAAACAGCTGTCCAGTATTCCCAGGTTTTCCAATGGTTCTCTAACTAATGTCAGCTCATGATGAAATCTTGAAACCAATCAAATCCCTACAAAACAACACTTGAAAAACTTTATTATCTTTCATTGTGATAACTTTATCAAATTAATATTAATGTCTGATTTTACATGCGTTTATGCATAACTGGAAAGTCTTTGTTTATCTGCAAATTTGTTGTTTTGTTTTTGTTCCCCACTTTTTCAGCTTTAATGATGCATAAAAAGCAACAGTATGAATTTCGCATAGCAATGCAAAAACGATCAAGGAGGGTGATGGGTAGAAAAATGGAAGTTATACGCACAGAAAAAGAAATGCAAGATGTAAGCTACAGTTTTCCCATTCTGTTGACATTACCATAAAAGGATGTAAATGGGTGTCTTAACACAGTCTAAAGTTTTGAAAACCTTGGTGACATGTATAAACATAAAACTTGGGCACTGTGGTAGAGCATAACTCCATTATGGATAATATTTCATTTTGATAAATCACACAGTGTAGTAATATTAACTGATGACCACGTTTCGAGCACAAATTATTGCCACTCATAATCATAACAAGGCATTGCTCACACAACTTCCTTGCTTCATTTATGTACATGTACGGAATTGACTAGGTATTGAAATAACAATCAATACAGGATAATGTACTTCCAGAAATGATAATAATGAGTGTTATTGATCAATAATAAGTAACTTGTTAGAATGTTGTGATGTGCTTGAATTGAAATAGCATTTTAAGATTATTTATTATCCTCCTCTAATTTGACTGACTGGTGGTAATAATATCTTCCATATTTCTGGTATTTTCATTGAGTCATTTCTGTTGCATGTGTTGTTTTGGGTGTAGACTCGATGAACCAGGCAGGATTCAGTAATCAATCTCTCTCTCCCCACCTACATAGATTACTTCTTGGAGTCTCAACCATCTCCCACCATGCTATTGTGTGGTTGTGAGTTAACGCCTGTAGTGGAACTGATGAGCTTTTTTCTAAATTACTTATCTTCTCGGGGTCAACCTTAGCTAAATTCTTATGTACGGTGATATGTATATTCAAATTTCTTGCATTTATCAACGTATATTGCCTGAATTAAGTGTTTGAATGCAGGTATTCGATAAAATATTGTATTTAGCAAAAATTATCTCCGTTGTACCGCTGTAATAATTATTTAAGACACTAAACTAGAAAGAAATCTTCCCTTCTACTTGATAAACCACACGAACCTTTTTCAAATCGTCGTTTGCATGTGTAGCAAATTTTACAACGTAATCAAGGAGTTGTTTTGGAGGCAAATATTCATCAAATTAATACTGTAGCATGGAAAGCACTAGATCAGTACTCTACCTAATTCTAAGGTAACTTTACAAATAAAAATCACCTGTCCGGCATCACACTTTCTCACTGAAGAAAATTAATTGATGGTATTTTGCAAAGTTTATGACATCCAGTATAACATACACGCTGTGCTGAATTTACGGTATACTAAATCGTACTGGATGACTACCAATTTGAGGTTTCATCAACAGAGGTTACCCTCTTGTGTGCCATTTATGGGACGAGAAAAGTTTATCAAGGCATATTTCCTTTGAAAGAGAGTTTAGCAAGCATGATTTGTTGACTTTAGTCACATTTGTTTGAAAGCCATAAATATCACAATTAACACGTGAATTATCTGAAGACTTATAGCTTTAACATCAATAGTTTATTAAACAAATCTGCAACCAGTAATTTAGCAATAAAAATAATAAGATATTAAGCCTTAGAACCCTGGACTGTCACTTAAATCTCTTTCAATCAAATTGCAAAGGTGAATACTTTCACATACATGCCAAAATTAATCTTGATACCATGTGCGAATTTGTTTATAGACTTTTCTCCCTTTGATTTCAGGAAGGCGCTTAATTCTATCTTATCTAGTATTAGTTTGCAGGAATTTGAAGACTTTAATTTTAGAACAACACATTTAAACGGGAAATATTGTGTTTTCAATTAGATCTCATCAGGCTTAACTCTTTTACACCTACATAACTTTACAAATAAAAATTCAAATACAAACCAATCATGATGTTTTGTCTTTAGGATAATAAGATGGTTAGTATGAATTGTGCAATCAGTCATGATGGTAGTAATGATAATAATAACATTAATGGTCTTATCAATAATAAGGATGAAAAAGTGAGGCAATCTGTGATAACACGAATAGTGAAAAACAGTATGATTAAACAAACAAATGTTCAGGTAGACGTCGTAGTCGATAAAGGCTAGTAAAAAACAAATGAACCGATTAAGTAATGTTAGATTTCAAGGGAAGGAAATGAGACACGTTTATAATGAAGATGTGATAGGATTAAGGGGTGATAAGAGAGGGATTGAAAATATAAGTTAGGGGTAGTGTAGAAGTCGTTAGTTGGTTATGTCTTAATAGGCCAACAAGGGAGGAATAATGGCTATACGAACTTCTTTTGAATAAGCATAGTTTAGCTTTAATAGTTCGAATGCCTATTGCTTGCCTCAGCTGTGTGCAGTAGACGAATACGAAGTCTACTGGAAAGATTCAGTGGAACACGATGAATTACTTTGAAGGCTCTCGTTTTCTCCACTACATGACTGCTATCAATTAAATGTGACAAAATTGAACTACGGATTGTTTTTTTCTGTCCTTTGCCGAACCACGATAGGAGATGTTCACTAACACGTTGGCTAAGCTGTCTAGTAGTACGCCCAACATAACTGTCACCTCAGGTGCAGTTGAATTGATAAATACACGTAGATGTGGCAAAACTATCAAGCTTATCCTTCGTTTGCGTCTCAATCATTCGTCGGCTAGAGAATGACAAACATAGGTGTGCTGCGTAAAATGTTCTACGTGTACTCCTAGATACTCTCTGGAACAAAGTCTCACTTGATAAGTCACCATTAAATTGTAATTTAATAAATAGAGGTTTCTTACGTGCAGTCAGAGTTTCAGGTTTTTTCTCTGATGTTTTCATATGCTTCTTTATGACATTACTCGGATAACCCATCTCAGGAACTGACTTCAGTCAGAGAAACCCTGAAAACGAGGAATAACTGGGTAGCTGCCTTGTCCTGTACGTCGACAGTTCAGCAGTAGAATGCCTACCAACCATGCCTCACGTGGTCCAGCGCACATCATATCCCTCAGCCGGTTGTACACCAGACAAAGAGGGAAGGTTGGGCATTAGGCTGACAATCACACCGTTTAAAAAATCACTACTACTACTACTGAGACTTCAAGGCTCATGACTGAGGCCCTGTATTCCACTTGAAATACAAGTCGAAGCAGCAGTTCGGGGGCACTAAGATTATGGGAATAGAGGAATTTAGCTACAACTAGAGTGTCTGACTCTGGTAAGTTGAATAACCTAGGAAACAGCTCTACCATTACACTGAATCCACCTGCATGTAATATATATATATATATGAAGCAAGTTATGAAGCCATTCATTCTCTGAGTTGTGATACCATTCAAATGCCTGTCACCACATTAACGAAGAGTTGAAAAAACACATTATCTCTTACTGAAAATCAGTGCGATTGGTAATTAGCAGTTGAAAAAACTTTCGAGTCTAGGACAATGTTAACAGATATTTAAAACTATTAGTTCCCTTTATGAATTTAGACAAAGCAATAAGAAGACGCAATTTGTCTGAATTGTGCAATGCGCAACAATCTGATAGCACACAGACTTTTCATAGGAATACATATGAAATTCACTTAACCAAGTAACAAAGGTAATGGTACGTCTATTATGATATCGAAATAAAGTTTACTAACTTGATCATCGTTCCTCAGTCTGAGGTTAATTTTCATTATCAAGTTGGTCAATTGGTAAAGATAACAAAACAAAGTGTAGATTGTTGGATTTGATAAAATTATAAAAGCGGTGTGTGTTTACATAGTGAAATTTGTTTATCACATTTGTGTTGATTTTGTCACTTCATGGTGGAGGGGAGGGAGGTGTTGTAACCAGGTCAAATTCTGTTTCAATCCATCATTTCTATTCAGGCCATTTGGATTCCAATTGATATGAAGTGCTTCTGATGTTGTTAGACGTTCTTTGTGATTTCTGAAATGCTTTTTCTGGATAATGATTTCAATATTGTCAAAATCAATTTTTTGGCCTGATTCTATATCAGGTAGACGAGCTATGGCTGATGATTTTTCTAGTTTTTTCTAGTTCAACCGGATTTCTCGTTGGTCGTACAGATGTGGCTCTACGGTGTTCATTTCTTCTGATTTCGATTTCTCGAGATGCTTGTCCGATGTATATCACATCACATTCCAAAAATTTTATTTCAAAAACATAATTAGATAGAGAACCTTTTTAGGGAATGTTCAGTCTTTTATATGGACATAATTCTAATATGTGTATGACATGAAAGTGAATACACTCAAAGTTTTGCAATAAATTCATACGACCGTATAATACATATGGACACAATACAAGATACTCTAAGTCTCCATATTGTAGATTATATTTATACCTTAGATCAGTAACACCTTTTTGATCTGAACACCCTAAATCCTAATAATGCTGATTTTCAAGAAACTATTTCATCATACCTCATAAAAATGTTAGAGATGAACAAAAGCAAAACAATGTTGTGAAATTAAACAAAATGAAAAACTTTTGTTTTATTGTCAACGAAAACAAAAAAAAACAAAATCATATGAACAAACAGCTTTTCTCTTCGTTTGAAGCGAAAATCTATTTATTCCTTTAATGTCGATTGATGAAATACCTTTAATTAACCCCTACCCACTATTGTCAGTTGTATCATGATTCGTTTACTAATCATCAGTGTATCCTGGAACAAACATTCTCCTACTTTTTGACATTCTTACTTACCTGAGATCATAAAACAAGCTCATCTTTTCACACACACACACACGCATACACACTGAGAAACACACAGAGAGATCTACAACCTTCTTTTTCCATTATTTGTCTTTTTCTGTCTCTTGATGTATGACGATAATGATGATGATGATGAGTGTTGACAAAACATACTTCCTTTGATTACACAAGGGTAATAAATATTGGAAGATGTATCTCGATAGGAGAATGGGCGGGGGGCGGGGTGAAAACAATCACGCCTTCCAAGTGTTCATTATTATTTCAGATAAAAAAGTTGAAGAAGGAACAACAACGCAAAAAAGAAAAAACAATCATACATCTTTCATCTTCTTAATTTCGAAGGTAATAATTAAAGGTAAAATCCTCTTAAAAAACAATCTCACAACCTAATCTGGACAGAATCTATCTACACTTTTCACTCTATATGATGAGATGCATAAACG